GGACCTTGTGGGCACAGCAGGATTTCAGTCCTTCATGGCGTAGTGTGTTACCAACTGTTTTTTTGGTGACTCTGGTCCCAGCTGCCTTGAGATCATTGACAAGTTCCTCCTGAGTAGTTCTGGGCTGATTCCTCACCGTTCTCATTATCATTGAAACTCCACGAGGTGAGATCTTGCATGGAGCTCCAGACCGAGGGAGATTGGCAGTTAATTTATGTTTCTTCCATTTGCGAATAATCGCACCAACTGTTGTCACCTTCTCACCCAGCTGCTTGGCGATGGTCTTGTAGCCCATTCCAGCCTTGTGTAGGTCCACAATCTTGTCCCTGACATCCTTGGAAAGCTCTTTGGTCTTGGCCATGGTGAAGAGTTTGGAATCTGGATTGATTGATTGCTTCTGTGGACAGGTCTCTTTTATACAGGTAACGAGCTGAGAGGGCTCCCAATGTCAGCTCGTTACCTGTATAAAATACACCTGGGAGCCAGAGATCTTGCTGACTGATAGGGGATCAAATACTTATTTCATTCATGAAAATGCAAATTAATGTATAACTTTTTTGTAATGCATTTTTTTATTTATTGTTGTGTCTCTCACTGTTCACATAAACCTACCATTGAAATTGTAGACTGATCATTTCTTTGTTAGTGGGCAAACTTATAAAATCAGTTGGGGTTCAAATCATTTTTTCCCTGACTGTATATGCAGAGATATACAAGGTCTTGGTGTTGCTGCCCTTTACCTAAATTTCCAGAAAATGGCAAGGCAGCTTTATTTACAGTATATGGCACATTTCATAAACAGTGGCAGTTCAAAGCTGAGATAGTGTTCATTACTGACGTAGAAGTACGGATGCTTGTGTGAAAAAATACTCTACTAAAAGTAGAAGTACTGATTCAAACTCTTTACCTGAGTTAAAGTAAAAAATTGCAGTCTCTGAAATGTACTCAGAGTATAAAAATAAAAAGTCGCCCTTTGAAAGACATCTCTACAGCTGTTTCTGTGCAAACCTGAGCCTCACATCACAGTAAGGTCGTTCCAAGATTAATAAACCATTTTAACATTAACTAACCACAACACAGTGCAGGCCACAGACCTCCGTCACCGTTCAGACAAACCTCAGTGAAACACACCTCTGTGCTGGGGGGACATGTGTCCTCACTACCAAACAGCAGACCAGTGTGTGTGTCACCCCCAGAGCTTCAGACAACCAAAACCTTTTACAGCGTCTGAAGCATATATCCATGGTCTGTAGTAAAGCGAGACGTAAGTGCACATGTGCGAGATCGCCGTGAGGGCATGAGGAGCTAGCAGACTGTAAATAAGCAACATGTGACCCAGTGCAGCGCTCTGCACATGTTGCAGTAAGTGGTACATAAAAATGATCGGCAAGTCCCCTCAAATGTAGTAAAACTAAAAGTAATGAGCCTGGTTTGAAAATATAAGGAGTAGAAAGTACAGATACTTGTGTTAAAATGGAGTAAAGTAAAATGTTTTCAGAAAATAAATACTCAAGTACAAAAACCTAAAGTATTTGTACTTTGTTACTTGCCACCTCTGGTACAAAGTGCTTTACAGAGGCAGAGAGAAATACTGTCAGCATTAAAGACAATAAGCACTAAAACCAAATCAGTTTGGATGAAATAAAATACCTAAGCCAATGGAGGACACGGAGGTTAAACCACTTAGTCTCCAGCTGCTACAATCTTTGTCAAAAATCAGTCATAACAGAGTAACTGTGAACACAGACATGAAACATGATCTGACTCAGTGTGACGTCCGCTTTCTGAGGATCTCATCATCTGTGGTGTGCCTCCACAAACCCGGTGAGAGACCAGAGGCCGCAGAGCCTGCCTGAGAATCCTCCTGTTTCAAAGTTTCCTTCGCCAGTGACCCGGTGACGGCTGTGTGAGCGTCCAGGGGAACACTACACACAGGAGCTGCTCAAAATTAACTTGTGTACTTTATTTGCCAAAACGTAAATAGATATGAGATTTAAAAAAAAGAGAGTTCACATGACTGAAGACAGCATAACTGACGTAAACACACTGACAGCCACGTAACGCTTTGATTGACAGGTCATGGTCAAACGGGATGTTTGACTGGAGTGTAACTGGAGCAGGTTTACTGGTGTCTGTACCACACAGCCATGGTTTGTGTTTGGGCGAGTGGCTGGACGTGCTGGAGACTGCTGACTCACCGTTAATCTGACGTCACCATCAATCAGGTCGAGCCCAATTGTTAACATCGGAGCCCACGGTGGTCTGACACGAACCTGAGCGGCCTGAAGCTGCAGACACCCTGATCAATAACTCTCGCTCTGTATAATCGCTCTCCATTACCCTCACTGCCTTCGACATACACACAGCAGTCAAATCAGCGCAGGCAGGAAGACAGCAGCTCATTCTGTTGTCATGGCAACAGCACCCTCTCCATGGACACTGGCTGCATCCTCACAAACACAGAGGCTTAAATCAGTGTAAATGGTTTAGCTGCCTCATGCTGACATCATGTTCGGGTTCAACAGGAACCTTCAGCTGACACACTGGCACCACCAGCTGACGGCCGGATGCTTGTAATCGCAAATAAAACCTGAAACTGACCAAACTGAACGCACCTATACTCTATTTGGGTGAGCTAACTGCACGGTCCTGTTGCTATGCAACTCACTGCAGGGTGTAATGGGACACCATCAGCGACATTAGTTTCCCTGTGAGAAGCCAAACTGAAAAAGGTCCATGCTGAATGTTGAGTAGACATGACCACAAAGGTAAAAAACACTAACACAGGCCTGCAAAATTAGCACAGAGACACACGACCACCTCAGAGAGGCTCAAAACAGCTACACAGACAGTGCTAACAGAGTTAGCAAGCAGCACATTACCAGCTCCCTCCACATAAGGTTCCATCAAGAAATACTGACACAAAATGGAAAAAGATGGACGTAGACAAGTCACCCTAATGATGCAACAGCCTCACTGAGACTGAATCCAGAGACTCTTCGATAATGAAGTCCATCCAGTACATCATCACAGCTGAATCTCAAGTCTCTGGTATGATCGAGGACGTTCCAAGACTCAGATTCCTGCTCTGAGGAGCGAGGAGGTTGCTGGACCATGAGCGAGGACACACAAGAGCACAGCCAACAGGCCCCCTTATCAGAAATCACTTGGTGATTGGACGCTGCAAATATAAACAAGTGCAACAGGTAATAAAAACAGAAGAACATTACATGAAGTCCCACTGAGCACCCAGCTCATTTTAAAGCATGTGAAGTCCTTCTTTTCTGTTTTACCACGGGTTGGAGCCACTGTGCATATATGTGCATTTCCCTCACGGTGTGTCCTACTGTGAGTCGGAGTTTGGGATGTAGTTTTCCCTTCTCCAAGGCGGTTCTGTGGGCTCCCCTATTTTTGAACAGCAAGCTCTTCCAACGGGCAAGTGAACATGCACCTGGTATAGACATGAACGCAGAAACTCCATGAAAACATCACCATTAACGAATTGTGCTGTACGCAGAAGACAGCACCAGGCAAAAGAGGGAACAGATGCATCTTCAGGGTTTCAGGTGAGTTACAGCTTGGAATTACAGGGAGGCATCAGCATTAAAATTGTTCCCAGGATGTTCGACCTTTGCTCCCGAGTTTATTTTGAAAGAAATATTACATCAGAACGGGGGGGGCGCTATGTTGAGTTAACATTTCCATAATATACTTTACTACCCGCCCTGCTTTATCGGCCCCGTTTTGACAAACATCATGAAAAGACTGTAAGAACTGAATGCACCTAAACACAAAGCACCCGGGTCCTGTCCGGGTCCTGTCCTCATCCAGATATTTAGGAGGTTTACACAGTGGCTGGGGCGGCAGGCTCCGTCCAACCCCCAACCTACAGGGGAAGCATTTCAGTCCGCTCAGACTAAAAACAAACATGAGGCAGGTAGACACTTACCTGTGTGTGACATCAGCCTGTCTGTCCGGTGGAGCTGGTACTGAAGACTGAACGGTTTGTTCTGGTTTGTAAAGGTTCCACAGGCAGCCCTACATACCAACCTCCAGGAAGTAGCCATAACCAGGCGCTTATATCAGGAAGCCAACTTAAAATTTGTTACATCAATTAATTACAAATGAAAGGTCCAAACTTTCACACTCCACGCGGACCTGACAGGACAGGTGTTGCCATACCTGCTTCACATGACCATCGCCCTGATATCAGAGAAGTGTTGCTGGTTTGACCCGGATGTAGGTCCTCAGCAGGAGAGAAGTCCGGAGGATCCAGAGTCCACAGACCTGCTCGCAGTGCCTGAAAAACCTGAAAAGTATCATTCATCAAAATGCACACGCTTGGTTCTGCTGATCACAGCTGTGTTAACACATGAGGTGGGGCCGTCGCTGCCTTATCCACTAACACCCGATGAAGAATCAGCGCAGGTCTGATGATGTGTTGTCACCCGATAAACACCCGCTGCTGTTTGGTGCCACGAGGCGCGTGAATGTGGCACACTTTATAAAACAGATTTTAAAGGTCACACATCCGTCTGGTGTGGAGTTTGCGTGCAAGAGGTGATGGATGGAATGAATGGACCTCTCTGTCCCCTGCAGCAAACACACAGTCAATGTCATCCCCCAACACACACACACACTCATGTTCAACATGAACTGTCATGTGCATGTGTCATGGGCTGCCTCCAGTTTGTGCTGCTGCTCCACTGGACTGTGTTAAATGTTATTCAGACTTAACCTCGTTAATATAGCAGTGGAAGAGCAGCACAACAACCACACAGGTGAACCAACAAACCATGTGAACATCATGACCTTCACTGCAGGACTGTAAGAGTGACTGAGTGTGACTCAGGGGTTCCTAATAAACTGACCAGTGAGGGTATTTTTGATATGAATTAAAATCATTGCAGATTCCCAAAGTTGGTTGTTTGGCCTGTTTCTCTGAAACAAAGACAACATGATGTCAAAGAAGTACAGTGATGATGAAGAGCAGGAGGTGACTGAGGCTGAGCAGGATAAACCTGATGTTTGCGTGCACAACACCTGAGCTGACGTGTTTGTTGACACCCGAGGTCATGTCTCCATCACACCTCAGTTTAAAGCAAACCTCTGCCTTATTCCAGCTCAACCCATTGTTTCTTCCAGCAGTAACACAACAAATGCAACACAATGGGTCAGCAACACTTATACTCAATTCAACTCCCAGAAAACACTAAGAGACTGAAAATTCTGTCCCACTCGTGTTCATGTTCATCTCTGCTGGACACTCACCATCTCTTCCTGTCAGCCTGCAACAGGAAACATCTGGATGTCAGCGTCTTTTTCAAAGTAAAAGTCGGTGATGGTAGAAACCTGTTGGACAATATGAATATTATTCATTTTAATTAACTAGAATTTTTAAGTTATTGTTATTATTGTTATTGACCCTTCTTTTCAGTCTCTACCTGCAGGTCATGGCGGGGGGCGTGGCCTGGACGTATCGCTGGGTGGAGTCAGACGTCAGCGCAGAGACCTCCCTAACCTGCTGCCCTATGAGGACCAGATGATGTCATATCCCACCTCGGAGGTAGGAGGCGGAGCCAAAGACCGGTACTATCAATCAGATGATTGGAAGGGGAGGAGCTTGGACCAGGCCCTGCAGCAATTGGTGGAGAGAGACCTGAGGCGGGAGCATGAAGAGGAGCAGCGAGCAGGTTGGCCAGCTGTAAACACTGTGTCCATTACTCATCCTTTCAGTGTGACATTTTGTCTTTTTATTTATGGATAACCAACCAGTCAAATGCCTCCACAGCCAAACTGGCCGCTCTGCTGCGCCTCCTGAGTGAAGCAGAGAGTGCTGGACTGGTGGGGCCAGGAGATGTGGAGGTGGTTGAGGAAGAAGAGGATGAAGAGGACGATCAGGGGACACCAGGGGAATTCCAGGGCTCTGCCCCCCCAGACTACGATGAGACGGGACAGGGGATGAACATGGGGAGGCCCCCGGCTGCCTGGTGGGGCCTCCTGGAACCCCAGTTGGCTCGGACTCTGCTAGACAGGTGAGGAACACCTTAGCACATCTGAGTCTGGTTCAGTGAATTTGTTTGGTTCAGGTTTGTGAAGGTCTGGACTCTAAACTGTGACCTGCTGTTGTCAGGATGGAGCCTCAGCTGGCTCAGACTCTGCTGGAGAGAGCGAGACAGGAGAGACTTCAGCAGGGGGGACGGGTTGCATCAGGACTGACCCGAGACCAGGACCAGGATTCTCTGAGGTGACCTCACGGTCGGATACCCATAGGGATGACTAGCATAACTTTGTTGCAATGATGTCAGGCGCACTCCAGTGTGTCGCCGCTGCATGAGGCGTTTTGGTCTTCAGGTCCCAGTGGACGTCAGACGTACACGCAGAGGGAAAACGTGACTGTAATCACAAGAGCAAAGTTCATCTCTCAGGGAAGAAAGTTGTAATATTTTGAGATATTTTATTTTTCTTAATGTGTTGCTAAAAATATTACATTTTTTGTCAACAATTATTTTCTTAAACAATAATGTAACTTTTTCCCTCGACTGAACTTTTCTCTAAATGTGACGTCACTTTTATTGGCATATAATTTTTTCTCTAAGTATTGATTTTAACTAGTTTTTAATTAAGCTATTCCAACATTTAACCACAAAATAACATTTATTTATTCTGACACACGGTGCCTGTTGTCATCATAGAGACTGGTGAGCACTAACATATCTATACTTCTCCTCCTCCTCAGACACCTGGTTGCTAGGATACTGTCCAGCATCGGCCATAACAATGCCCCGGTGATCTCCTCTGGTCACAGAATGAGGAGGGACCTGTCTGCCGTAGCCCAGCCTGTTAGCTTCGCCCACAGGAGAACCCGCCGTTCGCTTGATGACGTGGCTCCTCCATTGCCTAGCAACGATCCCCCCCTTCTCCGGGTGAAGAGGCTGGAAGATGAAGAGCAGGAGGAAGAGAAGCTTCGCCCGCACGTCGCTGGGCTGCAGAGGATGAAACGCATTGACACCATGGCAACTGCTGCTGTGGAAGAACTGAATCATGGGAGTCGTAGGCGCAGGAGGAGAGCCGCCCTAAACTACGACCCCCAGATACTGATCGATCAGATTCTGGAGTACATGAGGGAGTAAGAGGAGGGAGAGGAGGAAACAAGGAGAGGAAAGAATGAGAGGAGGGGAGGGTGGAGGGGGAAGAAGGAGGAGAACAGATGGATGAGGAGAGACAAACAGAGGGATGGTGAAGAGAAGGTGCATTGTGGTTAAAGAGAAGGAAAGATGAAGTGATGCAGGGGTGAAGTGAACTCTTTATTTTACACTAGGGTCGTGACCTCTGTTTTCTTCTTTTGTTTGTTTTTTCCTAAAAACCTTTCCTGGCAGGGTTCAGTAACGTGCGACTGCCACGGTGAAACAGAGACAAAGTCCTGACACGCTCATATATTGTTACACTTCTATATTGTAACGTGGTTGGTGGGTTTGTGAGCAGCTGATTCACAGGAGAAGAAAATGCTGCACACACTTTGTTTCACAGGTCCAGTAACTAAACGTTTGCTGCCGTTTCACTGATACTGACTCACGCTAAAGGAAATGCAGAAACTGTTCATCGCTGCTGGTTAAATCCGAGTTTCATTTGGTCTCCTTTAAGAAAACCTTTGTGACCTTGAGCTGCCACGTTGTCACTCATTGTTCAGCAAACTGCAGTTTATGCTGCCTATTGTAGTTTTCAGCAGCAGGGGAACATCTTTGGTTCTGTGCTCCAGACCCAGGAGGCACATCGACGCATTCTTGTATTATAGGAGCAGTTTTACTCACCAACAAATTTATGGTTCATTTGAACGCTCGTAAAATAAAGCGACTCCATGTTGCTCCTTAAGAATCTTTGTCTGATTAATTAGTTCCGGTTAATTGTTTGCGCATCATGTCATCATCAGGTCCGCAAAACAAATGTGAACTTCCCCTGTAGGCAAACATGCAAAGAACGTTTTGAATATCGATTTTCTCACGTTCTTCTTTATAAACACAACAAAGTGGAATCTGTCTCAAACTCTGTCTCTGTTTGACTGATAAATAATCCACACTCCATGGTTTTTGGTGAAAACACTACAGTACCCATGAGCCTCAGCAACTGTTGCTATGCTGCGGAACCAATCCAAGATCTAAAGGTGAAGTCATGTAAATTTCTGAAAGTTTCCAAAGATTCTTTAAAGATAAACCTCAGACTTCACCCCCGACAGTCTGAAGCGTTCTGATTGGATGATTCGTACAGCAATGCTGTCTAGGACTGTAGTTGACCCCGCCCACTCTGCTTCACTATGAAAGGCTCAAAGTGTGAAAGGTTTCCTGTTAAAAACACTTCCACATGGATTCCAGCTTCGCTCTGTCAGTGCCAGTCTGCTTCTGATGGAGGCTGACGGTAACCATGGCGATGTCTCATCAGCTCTGTGATTGGTTCGTTCTCGGTGTGTTCATATGCTTCAGCTTGTGTGCAGCAGCTCTGTCAGTGCAATCACTCGTCTGTGCAAATGCTAAACCTTTGTCATCCCGCACTGAAATAAAGCCAGTATCCACAAACTGAGCCCGTCTGTTTGCCTCTGTCTGCTGCACAAACACAAATCAATTAGGTGGTGAACACGCACAGTGCGTCCGAACCGTAACACCTGTCCGTCCTGGTGCGTCCATTCGTCATACAGTCAGACACACATGCAAGGAGGCTGAAGGAAAATATCTTTTTAGAATTATAATTAGGAGAAAGAAGATTTAATCCAAGGGAAAAGGTCATAATATGGAAGAAAAAAGCACAACATGTCAACAAAAATGGCAAAATATTTTGATTAAAAAAAAAAACTATATAAAAAACAACTACATTAAACAAATTTATTGTCATGATTTTCACCTTTTTCTATGTGTTACAACTTCTGGGACATATTACAATTTCCACTGTAATTATGACTTTAATCAGAATCTAACCTTTTTCCTGCATATGGCACTTTTTTACAACATTATTACAACATTTTTGGGACATGACTTTTCCAAACTGTTTGGATTCTACTCAAATGTATCTTTTCCAAACATTACGACATTTCTCTCTAAATATTTTGTCACTTTTCTTGACAGGTTATAACATTTTATTGTTATGATAATAAACTGTCTTACCTTCTTATCATGACATGTTGCTAAAGTAATACAGCTTTTAGAAGTTGCAGGTTACCAGTGGGGCTTTCAGTGGTTTACTGATAACACATTAATTTCCCTGGTTTCTCTAGTATAACCACAGTATACTGGTGTACAAAAACTGGCTTCTATAATGCAGCTGCCTATTAAATTAGACATTAATAAACATGTAAACATGTCCTTATAGCTGCTTAATAACTCCATTATATTCTGTACAGGCTTGTGTGCTGAAGTTTCTCCACCCATAAAAACACTTCACAGATACATGATCGCATTTAAAATGTGTAAATTTCCAAATACTAAAATACTAGATTTTGATCAAATGTAGTTGTACACAGTTAAACGTATTCTCATGCTCGGCAACAACAAAGCTTGCACAGTCAGAACATTTCTAACAACAAGGCAGAGTCGTCTAACAAACAGCTCTGGTGTTCAGCCTGGAAGACTCAGAGGAGGGAAAACCGCACCACCTGTGTTGTGTTAATGTCCTTAAAGGTCGAAGGTCATGCTGACAGGAAAGACTGGAAGCATGGGGATACAGTTAGCCTAGCTTAGCACAAACACTGGTAACTGCTAATTCTAAACTAAGTGAACCCAGATGCTCCCTGGACCCGAAGCCAACTCGTGACCCAGATGCTAAATAGAACCTAAGCTAATGCTAAGCTAACTGATCACAGACATAAACACTAAGCTACACAGACACAGAGACTGCCTGGATTGTCAGCTGTTTTTTTTTTTTTTTTTTTTACAATAGCTGGATCCAGAATTTAGCTTAACCCAAAGCCAAGCTAACTGGACCGGAAGCAGGAGAAATTCCCTGACATGCATACAGAGTTACTTACTAGCAACATGAGTTTTACACCATGTTTTTAAGAAAATAAAAATTGGAATATGCCATTTACAAAAGTATTCAACCCCTTTCACTTTGCTTAACCACAGCTCAATGAGGCTCACTCTCAGAGGCAACCTAGTCACTGTGTGGTGAGCTGCTGCGGTGTATAACAACAGTGGTTCAGGATGAACATCACACACCTGCTGTTCTGTAGGTACAGCACGAGCTATCACTTTGTTCAGCTGCTGTGCTTCAACGTGGACATGAAACACTGAGCAATACGACTGGTTCATCGTCACTGTGGACACATCATTATAGACAGTCCTGGTCTGGGCCAATTACAGTCAGGTGTGTACAGGGACATGCTGCTGCTGTGGTACATTAGTATATCATGCTAGGCTGCTCTGTGAGAGTAAATGTGGAAAAATAACTAAGACAAATACATCAGAAGAAATAAAAGGAAGCAAGAACAATATCTGCCAACGATACATCAGAAGAAATAAAAGGAAGCAACAGAAGAAGAAGGTGCAGTAACAGGAGCACTACGTGGAGCCAACGTCGCCCTGCTCTGCACATATTGCCTGTCGTCATCATCATGAGGGTGGTTTCCAGGTAACCAGGTGAAAATGAAGAGGGATGGGGAGATCAGGAGGAATATCCCAAAAAGAAGAAGAAGAGGAGTTCAGGGAAGACAGGACATGAAAGAAACAGTTAAATGTGTCAAGAGTGATGGAGAGTGACAGTAGAAGAGACTCACCTGGTGACATCATGCTGACATCAGCAGACCTGTGGTCACTGCAAACACACACACACACACACACACTCCTGTGATTCAACTGTTTGAATGAAGGTTTTCCAGTGTAGGTAAGCTTCATGCACCCCATCCCCTCACCCTCTTTGTTGTCTGATGGCAGCAGGGCATCCTGTCTGTTGGCAAGGACAAACGCCAGTGTGGCCAAGATGGCGGCATCCAAAATGCCCAGAATGGCCAGGATGTAGGCCCAGTGGACAGAACAGTTACCTGGAGAGAAACTGCCCACCTGGAGACAGACAAAGGACCAGTGCCATACATGATCAATATCACTGATACAGATCAATACAGACCTACTGAGGACATGTAGGAGTGTAACTGTTCATGCGACCATATGTATCTATCTTTCGATAAATACTGTGTATCAGTGATCAATACAAGCCAATAGAGCTCCAGCGTGATCAATACAGATGTACTGCTGTGACTCACTGAGTCTCCACACAGAGCTCTCATCTCTGGACTCTCCCACGAGTCTGGAAACAGAAGACAAGCCAGCGCCAGACAGAAACCTGCAGAGAAGACAGAGGCGAAGACGAGTCACTGTCTCCCATCTCTTTGTCCTGTCCTTGTTTGTCCCGTCCCTTCTCTCTGGCAGCAGAAGTACCAGTATTACCAGTGGTGCTGAGTGACCAGCACTGTCCTTATGTCACTGTTACTGGTCCAGTACCAGTACACCCAGTAGCACCAGTGTTGCTAACCTGCAGTGAGCTGCAGCCAGGCACAGATCTTGTAGACAGTGGTGGCGCTGCAGAACCTGAAGAGACAGAGACACAGGACGCTGGTCCACACGGCCCACAGAGACACTCCCACCAACACCGCCACTGACTGGAAGGATGGCAGAGGGGACAGACTGGACAGACCCCCTCGACAGTCTGGGACCGGCCAGTCCGACTCCACGCACACCTGACAGCAGACAGGCATGAAGACAGGTGAGTGCAGAGAATGTGAATAGTTACATCCGGACATAGGAAGGTCCAGAGATTAAAGGGTCAGTCCGTCTCTTTGTGTCTCCTCTCACCTCAAACAGTCCCAGGGTGCCACTGGGTGGGGCCCGGCCAACCCCCTTGTGGTAGGCCCCTGTGGTACCGATCCAGGATGGCTGCACCAGGACGACCACCTGGATGATGGCGAAGCAGAGCGTACAAACGGCCCAGAGAACGCCGACCGCCCGCGCACTGCGGACAAACTCCGTCTGATAGAGACGAGAGAGGTCGACCAGGGCGGGTGACACTGGCATGACTGAAAGAGGAGGAGAGAGAGGGGCTCACTGGGGGGGTAATAGCTGGTGGACAATGGTGGAGGTCTAAAGCACAGACAGATAAGTTGGACCAGGGTCTAGACTCGCACATGACGGTGAGGACACCACATTCACTGGATTTTAAAGCGGATCTCTGAGCCGTTTTCCTTCTACCAGATTTTGTTGCATGAAAACGTACCAATACTAACTTATCAGCCTGTTTGGGAGCTGATATGACAGAAAATTAAAGCCATCAGGAGAGAAAAACCCAGTAAAAGCTCATTAAATGTGATGTAATGTCAATTACAGGCGGGTGCTGCTGTTTTATTTGAGCTCTGTGTGTTTCTGTGTAGTCAGTGTCCATCAACTGCAGCAGAATGAGCAGTGAGCAGCGTCCCTGTGGATGGACAGACAAATGCCACTGGATCACTGTAGGACTGAAGGAAACCTAAACACAGGAGGACTGTCAGGCAGGCTCTGCAGCCTGTCTTCCTCTGGTTTCTCGGTGGGTTTGTTCTGAAGGGACATCAGAGATGGTGAAATCCTCCTGAAGTGGACATCACACTGAGTCAGACCAACATGTACGTCATGTCTATGTTCACTGAGGAGGGACTCTGAGGAGGAGGACCAGTTCTGGGTTTCCAGAGTGTCCATTTCTGTTACAGACCCTGGTCCGGGTTCAAAATGAACGAGTTAAATCAAAGAGCACAAGCTTCATTCCCCACCTCCTCCTGAATACAGCTTCATAAGAGGACTGGGCTTTTCACTGACAGAACGTGAACCCTCTGCCAGGATTTCAACAGCGTGCCTAAGAACCACAAGTTGTTAAGTTCTGGTTTGTCATCGAGTCGTCAATGATCACGCATGTTGATGTTGTATGTCATAACTGTCAGGCCAAAAAAATGAAGCAGTGCTCAAGTAAATTATAATAAACACTGGCATGCTAAACATATAGTCGTGTGTATATAAAGGTAAAATCCAAACTATTAAAATTGGCCAAAACAGCCAAAAATATTCCAAGACTCCTAAATGGTGTGAGAATCGAGTCGTGTTCAGACTGAACCTGAGTGTAACTCACCACAGGAAACCAACCAAACTTCAGTTGACAAGTCACAACTTTACCTCTTTTTGTTTCTTGAAACTCTTCAGATCACAAGGCCGGTCAGAACCAAACCCAGACCAGGACTCAGACGAGCTTCTTTCTGACTCAGCAACTGTCATCAAAAAACATCTGGCAGTTAATAACACAGTGCGACCTGTAACTGACTACACTCACTCATATAGTACTGTACTTAACTACAATGTTGAGGTATCTGTACTTTTCTTGAGTACTTCCACGTCCTGCTACTTCATCCTGTGACTCCATGTCAGAGACAAACCGTGTACTTTTTACTACACTACATGTACCTGATACCTTCAGGTCCAGAACCAGATGAATCAAACCAAACCCAGTAGAACCATCAGACTCTATTGATCCCAGTAGGAAATCCACCAGCTACCCAGCAGGATGGAAAGTACTTCCCAGTATAAGTATATAAGGTAGTTACCATCAGCTCCACCTTTACCAGCTGCAGCATTAAAGTGATGGACACAGTAATTAGTCACTATGATCCAGTATCAGAGACGTTACTGGGACACGGGCCGTTCTGCTGGTACTGGTACTGCTGGTAGATTTGGATGCTGATACTTTATTACTTATAGTTAAATAATACTTGCAATGCAGGACCTTTACTAGTAACAGAGTAGTTCAACACTGTGGTGTTAGTACCTTTAGGTGAGTAGCTGCTGAATCAGCATAAAGAAGCTGCAGGACAGTCGGATTATTATTGCTTCAGCTGAGATGAAACTACTTTAATCACATTAATTCCAACAGTCAGCGTTTACACGCCTTGCTACAGCTGTTGCAAGCATTATAGTGGAGTGTTCATTAATGGTTCTGTACAGCAGCCAATCAACATCAGATATGATAAATATGACTGTGAACAGAAAGTCGTCCCGAGGTTTATCGACCAACACGTTACAACAGCACCGACGGTCGGTAAACGCCCGGGGCTTTACACAGAAACACAGAAAACAAACCTTCAGCTGGACCCGAGCCACCTGTCTGTCCGCAGGATGGGAGGATGCCGGAGGAGAGGGTGGAGAGATGAGGCAGGGCGGCCGGCGGTTGTGCGCAAGCGCTACGTCCCAGGATGTGGAGCAACCCGATCATTTAATAACAGAAACCAGTGATATCGGGGGATTTAATCATGAAGCGAATCGGAGGGAGGTCGGTCTGATGAATCCAGCTCAAATAAAACAGCTTGTTTCCGGACGCGGCGCCTCCTGCCGGCGGACTGACGAACTGCAGCTGTTTCCGTCGTTAGATAACAGACTCGGGTCTGGCTCGTCCGCCGAGATTCACTACGGGTGTAGATTCCTTTTCTCCTGAGGAAAAGTCTGAAGTCAGATCGGTTTTACAGCGTGTGTCCGTCAGAACCGCGCCGCGCACACAACATTTAAGTGGCCGCGCCTCGATGTAATCTGTCACCTGGTCCAAAGGTGCTGGAGACTAGGGGGGTACAGGAAGAACTGTGGAGTCCACGTGTCTCCGTCTGCTCTCACCTTTTTAGTGAAACTCACTAAATCTGGTGGAACATGTTGCCACCAGATTTAAAATGACGATCAGTAATCGGACTAAAACATCTAAGATCATATGTCCAAAGTTATTTGGACAGTTTGTCGGGAGCCGGTCAAAAGCTGTGTCCACATAGTTTATCAGACCAAAAACCATCATTTAAAAACTATTTTCAGCTCGTTCTTGACCTTTGTAATAGAAACGTCAACCTTTCTTTATTAAGGTTCACTTACACAGTGTTGCTGGAGCTTTCAGTCACATCTTGTGACCTTCATCAGCAGATGAGGAAAAACCGGTTTTCTTTGTGATCTGGACCAGAATTTCAAATCTGAGGCTTTGTTTCTTGCTAAAACACAAAGAATTTCTCACCTGCTGAAAACGTGAAGATCGTTTTCTGTAAACAACAAATTGCTAAGCGATGTACAAAAGTGAACAAACATCCACAGGACGTTAGTGGGCGAGTGATGATGAAAGAAGAACATGATGCTGGAAAACAGCTGTTCATACAAACCTGTTTAATATTTAGAAAACATTTAGCGGCAAAGAACAGAATATTGCACAGGTGTCCTCTCACACCACCCTAACGCTGTCTGACAGAAGCTGTAAATCAAACGCACCTCAAGCACGCACCATGTCCTCTCACACCACCCTAACGCTGTCCGACAGAAGCTGTAAATCAAACGCACCGCTTTCGTCCTGACTGACAGCAGAAACCTTGTGAGACCCAGGTGGACAAATCACCTGAGGTGATGACACGTTTGAACCCTTTAGACTTTGAGAAACTTCACCTGACTCTGTTAAAAAAGGACAAAACCTTCAGAGATAAAAGTGAACTTGGTTGAAAGAAGAACCTGTGTGCCAGACGCCAGCTTGGCTCACTGTGGTGGCACCTTATTGTCCAGCTCACGTCCTGGAAACTTTCCTCACTGCCAAACCACAGTTTTCAGCTACAGCACGAATTCTTTAGTTGTGTATTTCAAATGGATGATGGTCAACAAATCAAACACACCCCATGTTACTGGTGCAGATTTACTCACAAACAGTATTTCTGGTTCATTACCACAGATCAGCCTGTAAAATGAAGCGACACCATGTGGCTCTTTTTCTTTCAAATCAACAATTCAGTGTTTGTTTCCCAGGAAGATGATGAACTAGCCTTCAGCTTTACCTGCTACGTGTATGGAGCAGGTTCTCTGTTGGCTTTTCATGGAGATGAACAGCTAAATAGCAGCTGCTTTTTAGGGACTAATGAGCAAAGCTTCCTGGAAATGAGCTGGAAACTACAGGACCTGTAAAATAGACAGAGGCAGTAGGTTTCTGTCAGAAACAATGTGAAGAACACAGAAATGTGTTGATCACACACGAGACAAGTAAAGCTGCTGGTTTTTCTCACTTTGGCCTTAAATGATCACTTTTACTGAATCCTGGAGTGAAAACTCCACATTTAGTTTTGTGCTCAAGTCTCAAAATGCAGACGAACTTGCAGCAGATCAAAATTTCCTAGGATTTTAATGTCGGCCATCCACTAAAGAAACATTACAAGAAAATGATCTGAACGATTCACAAGAATTAATTTCTTCATCTTCTGTTTTTATGGTCATGTGTCTATTTGACTAATAGACATCAGGTTCCTGCTCAGACTTTTCAAAATAAATCCAAAGTGTGCTGGTGATTGGTCCCATTTTCAGGGAACTGAACCAACAACCTGCTGATGAGTTTTGATGGTGATGAAGATGAAGATCAGCACCAAAACGCAGGGTTGTATTTTTGGCAGGCGATGGACACCGTAGACCCTGCTGGATTCAACTAAGTATCCCAGAAAGCACCACTGCTGCTGGTGGTATCCATGACAACACATCCAACCGACCAATCACACACAGCCGAAGGAAGACAGAACAAATTAAAAACACATTCAGCTCCCAGGTTTGTACAAGGTCCCTCTCGTCCTTCAGCTCCACGGAGGGATCTCCTCTCCGAACTTGGCACAGTGAGCAGTGTTTTTAGCTTCAAACACAATCTGAACAAAGAGCAGGGAGAACATGGAAAAGAATCGTTACAATACAGTTTTAGAACTGTCTTCATGCAAAATGCTGAAAATGTTTTAATCAATATCTGTGAATCATCAGACACGCAGGAGCAGAACAAGGACTTGGACCTTTACTGAAGAAATACAAGCAGTACTAGCCAACATTAGCCAGTGGTGGATGAAGCACTGAGGTCCTTTACTTCTTAACTACTAGTAACAGTACCGCACTATAGAAATGCACGTGCAATCAAAACCCTAGTTAAGTATAATCAGCCAAATGTACCTAAAGTATGAAAAGTAAAAGCGCCCATGTTAGTGCTGCCCTATTAGACATGGTATGTGTGGATGAAACGTGCTGCTGTATTTCTATGTATACTGAACTTTGATGCTGTACTTGTTTCAACTACACTAACATTAACTACCTTATAAACTGTGGGTCTGCAAAACGCACTATATTCTGTGGGAATTCATGTCGGTAACAACCTGTTTTCAGCTTAGTGAAGAGTATTTTTCAAAAACAGCTGACTTAGCTTTATTATTTATTTAGCCTAGAAATAGGAACAAATAATCATTCAGTGTTTGAGAAGAATCACCAAACCTAAATATAAATGGTTTTCACAGGACAGGAAGGGGATGAAGATCTACAAAGTAACCAGTAAAGTGAAGGTGTCGGGTAAATGTAGCAAAGTAAAACGTACACAAACTGAAATGTAGAGAAGTATAACGTAGCTGAACATGGAAGCACTCAAGTCAAGTACCTCGGATTTGTGCTTCAGTACTTAAGTAAATGTAACGTTAGTGTCAGTCACGCCCTGTGAAGCCAGCGCTAAGGTTAGCTCAGCCCGTCAGCCTGAATTCAGTTTTTATTTTTCAGTATTAATGAAAACAGGCCCTTTGTCATTTATACTGTAACCATCCAGCTGGTATCATTCAATATAACACTACATGTACATGTCACCGTTATATTCCTAAGTCAAATCTGTCACACACATTGTGATGAACATGAGCTAAAGCTGCCAATAGTTAACATCACTCTGACTGGAACTAACACTGGACCATGTGAACTCATTCTGTTTAACAAGAAACATTTGTGAAACCTCAATGAACAAATGAATAAGCCAGCTCCCAGTTTCAGTTTAGGGGCAGACCCCCCCTCTACTTTTAAGATTGGGTCTCGTCTCCTCTCGTCAACACATCCCACCTTTTATTTTTATATGCCACCACAACGCATCACAAACTGTCTCCTCTCTCTCTTTCCCGTAGTGTCTCCTCTCTCTCTCTCCCATAGTGTCCTCTCTCTCTCCCGTAGTGTGTCCTCTCTCTCTCTCCCCCGTAGTGTGTCCTCTCTCTCTCCCGTAGTGTGTCCTCTCTCTCTCCCCCATAGTGTCCTCTCTCTCTCTCCCATAGTGTCCTCTCTCTCTCCCGTAGTGTGTTCTCTCTCTCTCTCCCCCAGTGTGTTCT